CCCCAAAACCCCAAAACCCCAAAACCCCGAATGATTTTAAATTGATAAATTTGAAAACACGTATAGTATAATTTAATTAAATTATAGAAAAAGAAAATGTATTCAAACAATAGTGTCGCAATGAAAAGAATCCAAAAGGAGCAAAGAGATATGAATGAAGATCCTTCAGCTTACTACTTCGCTGAGCCTCTCGAGACTGAACCATTTGAATGGCATTTTACTATTAGAGGCCCATTGGATACTGACTATGCTGGTGGAATATATCATGGAATCATAACTTTGCCAAATAGCTATCCATTCAAGCCCCCATTCATTGAATTTCTCACTGAAAGTGGTAGATTCACAACCAGAGAGCGCATTTGCCTCACTTTCACAGATTTTCATCCTGAATCATGGTAGCCAGCTTGGACTATTAAGAACATCTTGCAAGCCTTGGTTTCCCATCTTCCAGTTGATGAGGAGAATCATCAATTAGTAATTGGTGCTTTAAAGATGGCACCACAGGAGAGATAGATGCTGGCTAAGAAGTCAGTTGAATTTTCATGCCAATAATGTGGATAAATAGCTAAGATAGCTAAGGAGAAGATGCTTCCTCTAACGGCTGAATCGAAAGATGAGATTAAAGCTGATGAATAGATATTTAACTTTGCATCAGCAAAAGCAGTCAAGCTGCATGATCAAGAAGTTCTTAAAAAGGAAGAGCAGGACTCAATTAAGGATGAAATCAAACATCTTAGATAGGAGATGATTAAGCTTCAAAAAGATTTGGAAGATTCTACAAAAGGAAAGCAATTGAAAACAAATAAAACTGAATCAACTGAAAATGTTTCATTAAAAGCAACTACAACTCCAGTTCAATTAAAAGCAACTCTAAAATCTATATTGAATAATGAAGGATCTAATTAGTCTGAACCTTCAAATGTACCAGATGCACAATCCTCTTCATTACCACAGCAAAAATCTGATATCAATGAGGAGCAGAAAGATAAGTTGAAAAAGATCAGAGATAAAGGTTTAAAGATGTATAAAAAGCGTTTGTTAGAGTAGCTTGAGAATGACTGTAAAAAGAAGTTAACTGTAATAAATATACTGTTCCTTATATCTCTAGCTGTGACTGCTGCTATGTACTACGGAGATATTTTTATTGAAGTAAGGCTGTACGATTTTCTCATGTGATAGTAAAGTTAATGATTCAAAATAAGGGCAAGTTAATTTCATAATGATTATATCTTATTTCAAATCTATATATATGCTCATGTATTTTAAATTATTAATCTTATGGGGTTTTGGGGTTTTGGGGTTTTGGGGTTTTGGGGTTTTGGGGTTT